CTCTCTCTCTCTCTCTCTCTCTCTCTCTCTCTCTCTCTCTCTCTCTCTCTTGTGTGTTAGCTCTTAGTCTCATTGATTTGGCTACCTTAGGGCTGCGTTCCCCGCGCCCACGCGGTAGACAATGACCGTCACCAACTAATGATCGACAATGAGAGCTAATTGAAGGCTAGTTGAGGGCTAGTTGAGGGCTAGTTGAGGGCTAATCGAGGGTTAATGTTGGGGTAATGGGGGGTAATCGAGAGTTAAGTGGGGGCTGATTGAGGGCTAAGTGGGGGCTGACTGAGGGCTAAGTGGGGGCTGATTGAGGGTTCATGTAGTGCTAATTGAGGGCTCAAATCGAACTGTTATACAGACCACCTCTTTGTCTCTATCAGGCCTCCTCTTCTTCTTCCGCTGTGGTGACAAGATCGACACATCCTTGAGGTTTAGTTCAACAGTCATACACACAAGATCTTCTGCCGGTGTCGATCTAATTAAGGGATAATTGAGTCTAATTGAGGGCTAACTGAGGGTTAATTGAGGGCTACCTGAGGTCTAATTGAAGGGTTAACTGAGGTCTAACTGAGCTTTAATTGAGGGCTAATTGAGGGTTAATTGAGGGGTTAACTGAGGGCTAATTGATGGATTAACTGAGGGCTAACTGAGGGCTAACTGAGGGGTTAAACTGAGGTCTAACTGAGGTCTAACTGAGGGCTAACGGAGGGCAAATTGAGGGCTAATTGAGGGCTAATTGAGGGCTAATTGAGGGGTTAATTGAGGGGCAGTGAGGGCTAACTGACGGGTTAACTGAGGGTTAACTGAGGGCTAACTGAGGGCTAATTGAACAGTTATACAGGCATCCTCTTCATCTCTATCACGTATTCCCTTTGCAAGGAAGATGAGCAATAGCGAACTTCAACAATCAAACAGCATCATACATATGAGTCCAGATAGTCGTGACCTCGAACCAACAGCAGAATTGCATCACGAGATTCACCAAATAAGAACACACCAAGAGTTCGTAATTGACAATGCTGAAATAGTCCCATCATCATCAACGAAGAACCAGAGTTGATATCCTATCTGGCGCTCGGCACCCAGACTACATGTGGCAGATCCTATCTAGCCTATATTACAATGCCGAAGTTGACGACAACAGCTCTCCCGAAGTACGAGCATACAGCGACCAATGTCGCACGCTTCCAGCACCAGGTATGTCTCTCGCCTTACTCACAACCTTGTTCCCCAACACACAGATGCCACTTGCACCCAAGGACCACCCTGCGCCACACCCAGCTTACAGCAGCGCAGCTCGTCTATGGCTGCCTGCTCCTTCCCTGCTCGCCCGTGAGCGCGTAGGTGCTAGCCAGCAAATAGCGCAGCAGCAGTGCTTGCGCAGCATGCAACCAGCACCCGAATGGGGAAAGCGGTGGCAGGCCCTTCGCTATATCGAAGTGGCCTGCCTGCGTCCAGTCCCAGGAAGCTTCCAGTAGGCCCCGGTAGCCTGAGGCCCAACACGAACGAGAATAGGCCTTGGGCCTGAGGTGGTTGCATGCGCCCAACTGCCTTTGGCCTGTGTTCGGCCCAGTGCCCGTATCCAGCCCAGGGCCTGCTTTCCATACATTCACACAGGCGGCCCAGGGCCTGGGTTCTCTCAACCAACGGGCACTGCGCAACTGCCTGGATTTCCTTGAGTTGCGTCGTGACCAAAACAGGGCCCTGAGGGCCTCGTCGAGCCTGCCTTCACTTAGGGCGGCCGACTTGCTTCAGAATGGGGCCATAAGGGGCTCATAGAAGCATTGGCCTCGCATTCCCTCCTCCTTAGCTTCAACAGTCCTCTGAGAAGCTCAATCTTCAATCATTGGGCGCTTTCCCTTCTGCAGAGATCTCTCGTAATGGGCTACAACTTGAAGAGCGGTCTGCATGAGTTCCTCCCTGGTGAACCAGCGGTTCTCCTTCGGATCAGTGTGATGCCGGAACCGAACGCGGTACTGCAGCTTCGGTTTCGGAGGACGTCCCTTGCCTGTTGGTCTTGCCACTGGCATCTCCCTGTGGTCCACGATATCATCGATATCCACCTCTCCGTCCATGGTTGGGGGCAGCATTGAGCGGCGAGATGGAAACTGATCTGTTTCTTTGAACGGTGCAAGCTTGGAGGCGTGAAAGACAGGGTAAGTACGAAGATGACCAGGGATCCGGACTACGTAAGAAGGTCCATCCGGATCAGTCCCAACAATATCTAAGACTTCCCATGGTCCAAAGTACTGTGGCAGGAGCTTGCGGGAAACCCCGTGCTCCTGTCCCAGTTCTGAGGACTTAACCCAGACTCTGTCCCCAACCTGAAATGAAGACTCACGGCGGTGTTTGTTTGCAGATTCTATCATAGCCGCCTGTGCCTTTTGCATCTGTTCTACAGCCTGCTGCATCTTCTGTTCATAACGGTAAGCAAATTCTAAAGTACCTGGTGCAGCAGTTGACYGATTCTCAGGAAGGAGAAAATCTAAGGGTAGTCTAGGCTTGAAAGTCAATAGCAAACTGTTCGGGCTCACCCCGGTGGCGCTGTGTACCGCATTGTTGTACAGACTGGTGATGAGAGCAAGCTTCTCATCCCAGTCCACCTGGTTGGGCTTGATGTAATGCCTCAACAGATGTTGTACAGCGCGGTTCAGTTGCTCGGCCTGGCCGTTGGCCTCTGGGTGATTCCCAGAAGTCATTTGCAACTGGGTTCCCTGGTCTGCAGCAGCGGCCTTCCACAATTCGCTGGTAAATCGGACATCCCTGTCACTAATAATAGACTTCGGTAACCCAAAGTCCCTAACCCAGTTCTCTTTGAACATTCTGATCACATACTCCGTCCTTGCTGTTTCCGGCATTGCTACTAACCTAGCATATTTACTAAATCTATCCACGATGACGAAGATGTGTGGCATCCCACTCTTGCTGGTGACCAGAGTATCCATGAAATCCATGGACAGACTCTCACCCGGCCGTTCCGGAATCGGAAGGGGCTTCAGTAGCCCAAGAGGAGCCTGAGTACGGGGCTTGTCCCTTTGACAGACCCGACAAGTCTCCACGTACAGCTGGACATCTCGCATCATCGTGGGCCACCAGAACCGCTGCAGCAGATTGGCTGCGGTCTTCTTATACCCAAAATGGCCGGTGGCGTCATGGCACTGTCCTAAAAACAAACTACGCAAATACTCGCTATTCGGGACACACAAACGCTTATTCCCTGCCTTCTCAAGGAACAGCAAGCCGTTAACCAACTCAAACTCGGCTGAAGTCTTTTTGTCCTTCGCCTCTAGTCTGCGTATGATTTCTGACATAAACTGATCCTTGCGATAGGCTTCCACCATGGACTGAGTAACGTTGTCCGCAAGCCCAAACTCAGTGATCAACGCACCAGAGAAGTCTGATCTACTACGCAATAGGGCATCAGCAACCTTGTTGTACTCGCCCTTGATGTACTGGGGCTCGAAGTCATACTGCTCAATGACTTCGATCCAACGCTTGAGAGCATCAGAGAGTACCGGCTGAGTTCTCATCCATCTCATGGTCTGATGATCAGTCCTCAGGATGAAGAACCTCCCAAGGAGGTAGTGCCTCCAATGGGTCAGAGCCTTGTAAACCGCATAGAGTTCCTTCTCATAGGCGGACTTAGCCAACTTCTGAGAGGGCATCTTTTTGGACATGTACTCTACTGGCCTCAACTTTTTCCCCTCCTGTTGTGCAAGTACGGCACCTATGGCATATTGGCTAGCATCCGTAGTCACTATAAATGGCTTGTCAGGATCAGGAAGTTTCAAGACTTTGTAATGCGTCAACGCATGCTTCAGATGTCTGAAAGCAGCCTCGCATCTCTCAGTCCACTCCCATGGGGTGTCAAGGCGGGTCAAATCAGTCAAAGGGGCGGCAACTATGCTCCACGAAGTTGCGATAGTAGCCGGTCATCCCTAAGAATGACCTCATCTCAGTCACAGATTGAGGACGTGGCCAGTCACGAATGCTGGCCACCTTCGCGTCATCGGGCTTCAGCCCTTCCGCCGAAATCTCATGACCCAAGTACAAGACACGGGTGCGGCCAAACTCGCACTTCTCACCGTTGATCTTGAACTTGTGTTGTCGCAGGAGACTGAGGACTTTGTCCAAGTGTGCAACGTGCTCCTCAACAGTCTTACTAAAAATAAGTATGTCATTGAGGTACACGATGACAAACTTATCCAAGTAGTCATGGAATATCCGATTCATAGCGTGCTGAAAGGTGCCAGGAGCATTGCAAAGGCCGAAAGGCATCACCACAAACTCGTACAGACCGTACCTGGTCTGAAATGCGGTTTTGTGTTGATCCTTGGGCCGGATTGCAATCTGATACCCGGACTTCAGATCTATCTTACTGAAGTACCGACACCCTTGCACTCTATCAAGCAAATCATCGATGCGCGATAGGGGCTCTCTGTTCTTGACAGTGATGGCATTGAGGCCCCTATAGTCAATGCACATCCTAAGTGTTCCCTCCTTCTTAGGTACGAATAGTACTGGAGACCCATAAAGAGAGACACTTGGCCGGATCCAACCCTCCTCTACGAGTTCCTTGAGCTGTCGGCGAAGCTCATCGAGCTCGCCTGGAGACATCCGATAGATCCTACCCTTCGGGATGCTAGACCTTGGGATAATCTCTATCGCGTGGACGACCTCCCTCTCTACAACCCCTGTCGGCTCTTCAAATAGATCAGGGTACTTGGCAACTACTCCCTCTATCTCCGGCGGCATTTTCACCGGCTCGCCTGTAGCAGAGACATAAACTAAGTACATACCCTCCTCCTGATTTTGCTTATAATAGTTATAGAACGCGGCCGCACACATGCATCCATGGGACTCAATCAGACTACTACCTTTAAACTTACGTAATCTGGCGGTCCCTCCACCTGGCAAAGTGTGTTTGACCACTTTTCGGTCCCAGTCAAACTGGGGTTGTGCCACAGAGAGGTAGCACATACCTAACAACATGTCCATGGGGAGTTCATCGCTCACTAGGAATGAGACGTGATGTCTCAATTCCCCTCCCGCGTACGGGAAACAACACTCAACATCTTGAAGGTAGTCGTTGACTACCATGCGCTGTTTGTTGGCACAGGTCGACTCCACAGGTCGACTCAGGCGCTGCACTTGCCCCTGTAAGCGCAGCCTCTCAACGCACGCGCGGCTAATAAAGTTCCTAGTCAAGCAAGTGTCATAATAGGCCCCGGCCTTGCGGCCGCCAATGACCACCTCGCTAACGAACATCTCACCCTTCGGGGCTTTGACTAGGGCCGTCCAAGAAGCTAGCGGGTCTGATCTAGACCACTCCTCCTCTAGCTCCTCTGACTCGAACACATTCATCGAACAGAGGCTCGATGGGTCTGAATGTGTTTGCGGGACAACGCTGGAGTCAGTAGCTTGGCCATCTCTCGAGATGGTGAGGGTGTCTCCACCACCTCGATCCTATTAGGAACAACTACTATTCCTACTGGCCCGACGTGTTTACCGGAGCAGTGCCTGAAGTGCTGGCAACATTGCTACCAATGGGATGGGAGGATCCTACCGCCTGCCCCATCGCAGGCGGGATCTTGTCGGTCACCTTTTTGTTACGGCACTTGAACTGATTATGGCCATATTGACCACAACGAATGCACGCTTGCCTTGAGTACCGATCTCTCCACACGTCCTCGGTAAGACCCGCCGTACGTTACTGTCCACGTCTCAAGCAGGCGGCGGGCGTATATGTGGACAGTAAGCCACGGCTGAATTCGTGCTCGATGTCAATAGCGAGCCCGAGACTTGAGAATCCACGCGACACTAGATTGCCTGAGAAGGTACTCACGCAAGGACCTAAACCTTCAGGAGACAATTCAATTAAATTCGAGATCGTGGGAACTGGGGAAATAACTCCACGGTGGTACCATACCAAGGAGAATTCAAAGATCCCGTAGTAAGAATTGTCCAACTCAACTTACGATTAGGATAGATAGATATTTCTGGATATAGGCCCCTTTCTCCACGAAGTGGGCGATGAGCTACGTTGGTATGGGAGAACCGTTGAAAGCATATAAGCGGGAAACCCCTCTTGAAAAAAGTTATAATACAAAGTGAAAGACCATCACTTGAATAGGCGAGAAGTAAAAGCACCGTGAGGTGTGAAGCTTACTCGTACTAATTACGATTCCGACTATCGGGGAGCTTTCATGATTGCTGTGCTTTGCATGCTAGATCTTCTACTTTTTTATGTTTTCTTTGAAAGCGTTTTAATCCCTATGTTTATTATTATAGGGGTATGGGGTTCTAGACAGAGAAAAATACGAGCAGCATATCAGTTTTCCCTACACTTATAGAAATCGCTATTCGGCACGCAGCATTTGGCCGATCCGGGCCACCCGAGGCCTACCAGCCGACGGCCCGGATTTCCGCGCGATATTAAGACTTCAAGACTTTAAGACTAAGATCGCGAGGCGATCCAGGCCGTCCGCTTTGACGAACGGCCTGGATCGCCGCGCGATCTTAGAGTCTTAAGATTCAGATCGCGCGGAAATCCGGTCCGTCGGCCCGGTACCAGTTGGCCAACGGCCCAGATTAGCCAGGCGTGGGGAAAACCGGTTCCAGGGGGGCCGGTCTCCTATAGGGCGCAGCAGCTCGGCCCCCGCGCATGTCTTCGGCGGCGCACGGAGCCTGTGTATTGCGAACGAGACAGCACTCACTCACACGCCCGCCGGCCCGCCGGCCCGCCGGCCCGCCGGCCCCCCGGCCGGCTTGAACAAGCACATGCACAAACTCACGCACATGCACACATGCACGCACACACACGCACATGCACTCACGGACGGACACGCACACACGCACGTGCACGCAAATGCATCATGGGCAGACTGTTGGGGTTCAACCTCCTGATGAGTTGGTGAAAGTCCAACGAAACAGTCTGGCAGAGTCGTGCTTTTTTG